AAAAAAAAAAAAAAAAAAAAAGAGTCTTCATGTGCAATATTTAACAGCCCACTGCTAATTATCACATGGCATGCAGGGATTCAGAGTCTGCTGCACTGCAACCTGGAGCGCTAGTACTGTAAACAACTCCAGCAGCTGAATGGGGACCAGACTGGTCGAAGTGATGATAATTAGGACAACATTTTTCAACAGTGGAACCACACTGAATGTCCACAGGGCAATGGGGATGCTATAAACTGGCTGTTACTGACCAAATGATCACAACGCAGAGCGTACAAGCTTGCCATGTGTACCGTGGTTCTGAGATGAACACAGAAGAATGCAGGTCACACTAAGTGCCAATGCCGGTTAGACCAGAGAGATACTACCACATCCAAAAGCTCAGACTAACTCTCTCACAACTGATCCCAGCTACACTGCCTGGGCTTTCAGACTCCATTCAGTCACACAAAATGATTCCTCTGCCCATCCCCAAACCCCTGACTACGTCAGCAGCTTAGCTGTTATCATCTATACTGCAATGGGAACCCAAGCCTGGATGATCACCTAAGGTTACATCCGAGATAAGGTGAGAGACTTAGTCTTTTCACCTAATGACTGTACACAATGCCTTTGCCTGTTTAGCCCCAGACCTGCCCTCATGCATTCTGGTTAGCAATTAAGTAAATTCATATACAAGACTGTCACTTACTTATCCAGATCTATATCAAGTGCCTTATATGGATCATTGGGATCTTTGTCATCTTCATCACTGGGCAAAGCATTCTGCAGGAGAGAGAGAGACCATCCACTGAAGAAACAAACCACAGGCAATTTCAAAACTAAAGCTTTACATCACCCAAACCAGTTTAAGATTGTTAACCCTGGAAGAGGCCAGCTTGCAGTCAGGCACAGTAAGTTATAGGAACAATGCACTTTAATGCAGCATCTTGTTACAAGATTAATTTAGAACAGAAAACCATTCTTTATAAACTGCAGGATTTGAATTGCGGCTGTTTGGTTCTGATTAAAGGAAATTTTAGGAACAAATACAGATTACATCATTAGCATGCGCAATTAATTATAATCAGCTGCAAACCTGCTGACTAGACAGCAAGTTAATGTCAAAGTGAAGCAGCAGAGCATAATAAATGAAGTGACTATTTGGACAGTGTTACTTTTATAGCAGAGATGCATATTGTTTGTTTTGTTGGTTGGTGGTTGGTTTTTTTTTTTTTTTAAATAGCTTCAGTGGCAATTTTTGTCTTTTTGTACACAAAAATGACAATTTCTCCCTCTGCAAAGAACAGCCTAGGACCATCGCAATCAGTCAATTCTTAAACAGCCTGGCAAGCAATCAGAGCTCTTGAACTGCAAGAATACAGACCGGCTGGCAATTCTTAGGGGGGGAAATCTCTCAAGAAGAGCACACAGATAAACTCCACAACTCAGACTACCAACCAAAGCAACTGACCTCTGGCATCTCTTCTGTGATGATATCGACATGATGAGCTGGAGCAATATCCTCCTCACTCTCCGTGTGCAGAGAGTTATGGCGATGATGTTTACCTCTCTTTTCCTTTTTCTGTTTCTTCTTCTTCTTGTCTTTCTCCAGTTTCTGTTTATGTCTTCGCTCTTCTTCCAGTTTCACATACTGGTCATTTTTTCCTGCGGAGGAAGCCAAACTACTTTCAGGCTACAGTCCACATGGACATTGATGACTGAAACAGTATGTTAGGAGTGAACCTTGCTTCTAGCTTCTCAGAATCAGAAGGATCAACACCTCTCTATGCTTCTACGTCATCTCACATACAGCTCCCCTAGTACCAGCTTTACTATCACACTCCACCTCCCCAGAAATAGGACAGAGCTCTACCCTGCTCCCTGATTCTTGTCCACATTAACTGGATTACAAAGAGCATCTAAACGTTGGTATTTTAAGTAGAATTGTTGCCATTGCTGTACTAATACTGACAACACTTTTGGAAACACTTTGTTATGTAAGCCTTAAATATTTGCACTTAGAACTCATGACTTGCAATGTACTGCACTTTATCAACAGTTTGTCAGTGCTCTATCAAACCACTCATTAGATATACAACTACCTTTTGATATTTGAAACAAGATATTAAAATATTATCTCTACCATTAGACTCCACTTAATGTCTCCTGATCACCTTCATCAGGTCTTTAAGACATCCAAAAGCGACTGTTACCGACACAGAACAGTGGTTAGTTTACATGTTACAGACTTGGCTGCACAATATACTTAATCACAGAATTACTACTAATACTGCCTTGAGAGGAACTGCACTTGGACTGCAAAGCACTATTTTCAACCACCTGTAAGTTAAGGAGATGTATTTTTAAAAGCCTAATGCAAGTATGCTCCTTGCCCTTAAAAACCTAAGGAAGAATTCCTAAGAAGGAATTATTACTTTTGCTTAACTGAATTTCTGTAATTAATTTTAAAGATTAGCTGCACTTACCTGGAACTTTTAAGGGGACAGAAAGGTCAATCTGGACCACAGGTATATGTTCCACACCTGGAGTGTCTTGGTATCGCTGGGAAAATGAAAATTTGTTACATTCAGGGCATTGCCAGATACAAATCTATGTAAATAGACACATTTCAAAACATCAGTTTAATCCTTTAAGTGAACATTTTAAAGGATAGGAATGGAAAAGCTCAGCATTAAATCCTGTGTGGTAGCAGAGTGTACTTTAAAGCCAGCTGATAACTATTATAAAAGACCCTGCTTTTAGCTACAGTTTTTTAACCCTGCTACTGCCCTGAAGAAGGCTTGTTGCAACTCTCTGAAGAATTTTTGGTTTGTGTTTTATTGCTAATAACTTGCCACTTCAAAAGGTAAATTTTGAGACTTAAGTTGAGGAAAATGGGGTGGTCCTTAGGATATACAGGGAATAAAGCAGGTTCTTTCCCTGAAAAAGATGTTACGAGACCACAACAACCTTTTGATCCATAAAACATGCTGCACGTTCAAGAGGAGCATGTTCAAGGTTCACTCTCTCTTCATTGCGCTTAACGAAGTGCCTGGCAATCTGAACCCTTCCATCACCCAGAGCTGGGACAAACTACCCGCACAGGAATCTGTGACACAAAGGCACAGAGAAGAAGTGTTTCTCCACAGCTTTTAGAGTCTTTGCTGAAATATAAACATTGCGCTTCCCACGACAAGTTAATCCAGATTGTTCCAAACTACTGTGTAATGGGAGTTGTGACAATTGCCACTTCCTTATTTCTAAACTGGAGGTCCACCAGAGATTCACAGGAAGCTGGCTCCTCTTGTGATATTTGGTCACTTGTGAGTTTCTCAACACAAACAGGACTTGTAAAAATAGTTGTAGGTAGCCACTCCAGTCAGTACATTATTAAGCGATCGGAACTGCAGTGGAAATAATCAGAATGTCCCAGAGGGAAGCTGCAGCTCTGACATTCAGCAAACCTTCACATCATTGTATGAGAGGCCAGCAAGGTATTTTAATTCAGACTCACTCACCTTCTGTGGGGAAGGAGAGCTTTTAATATAAAATGGGTTGTTTGCCTGTTCTTGTTTCCGGGCTTCTCGACGCTAAAAGCAAAAGAGTATTTGTAATTAGAACGTTTGTTTACATATATTAAAAAAAGAGATAAAAGGCAAAGTACAAAATGCAATCTCCCTGAATTTTTGGAACAGTACATAACTACTTGCAAAAAGACTACTGCATAGTAGCTTGCATATGATAAACCAGTTTTGAGTTACAAGACATATTAGGATATAACTAGAAGTGCTGTTACTACTATAACTAATATTCCTTAGAACACCTTTTCTTTGCTTTTTAATTGTAGACTAGAGATAGTAAATTCCCAAAGACCAGATTTTGATGGCAATTCAGATGTTTCTATTTTCATTTTTGCAAAGAGAGAAGGAAATGAAGATTCTTGTCAATAAAAAGTCTTCTCTATGAAAACAAAAAGGTCAGAAGCAGGAAAGGTGGTATCACTACTGAGAACAGTCACATGACAGTAATTCATAGAAGCTGCTGAAGTCCATGAGCAAAGACACTGCTTCTTTTTTCTCCTGATTGAGAGCACACAGACTAACAGAAGTACACCAATGGAGGAGGGTATGTAGAAAACCAAAAAGCTGCAGAGCCCTGCAAAAGCGTCCATCCTCAAGAGCGTGTTCTTTGAAGTGAATCGCACTAGACATCACTGTTTACAGAATTTTACAAGAGCTCAAACTCCTAATGAGGGCCAAGTTTTTAAAATATCTTGCTTCCATTCGGACAAGATAGGCAAGCTAGACTTCCAAGAGAACTTTATATTCAGATGTATTCCACAATGCCTAAAAAAATACCTGTATTTAAATACATATATTTTGCTCACATCAAATCACCAGATTTCCTGAGCTGTAGAGATCAGAATGGCTTCCTGGCTACATGGAGAATCCACAACAGCTCCAACTGCTTTAGTAGCACTTACAACATTACTACTGAATTATGCAGGGAAAAGCATTTTAACAACCACTCACTCTGGCCAGTTCCTCTTCATCTATTTCTGGCTGCTTGTGTCGGGAATGCCTTTGTTCCTCATCATGAAAAATTGTTTTGGGCTTTTCATCTTCAGACTCACTGTCTGATGGAGGTTCATTGATCCAGGCATCAAGGTCCAAGCTGGTAAGAATTGCAGTAAACAAACAAACGGCTTGACTCGGTACCCCTGAGTATTTCAGTGTTTCTCATCACATACTTAGCTTTACTATTTAAGAGCTTAAAAGTTTAAATAAGGCTTTGGGAGAGAAAAGGAACCTTACCCTTCTGGAACTGGTACTTTCTTCTGTGCTTTAGGAGCCACAGGGTTCAGCTCACCAGCAAACAGGGCTATTACTTCCTCAGCTACAGGTACCTCTTTTATTTGTAGCTTCTGAATATATTTTATTAGTTGCAAGATGCAAGAAGCCTAAAAACAAATGGCAGAAGTAATTTCAGAATTAATATCAACAAACTGAACCAAAAAATCAATTGCAATGAAAATCAGCAGAAAATAACTGTTCTACTCCATTAAGGGACTTAAGAGAAGCAGCATAAACTGCAGGTTTAGAGCAAATATAAAAAAAATTCATGCCAACCCTCTCTTCTAGCTGTGTCCTTGCTGTGTCCTTATGTGCTTGCATAATTTTAAAATTAAATTGTTTCGAGTGAAATTCTTGCAAGCAGTCTTCAAAGGTGGTATCGAACTGGAATAAGATCCGGGCTCTGACATGAAATACCACTGCTCTTCCCACTCTGTTGATAACAATAGCTTATATGCTCCATCACAAATGAGAGACTTTGATAAATTCCAAAGCAATTTTGTTCTCTTACCCTCTCCTGAACTTCTAGATCTGCACTCTGTACAAACTGAGGCAAACGCTCAATCATCAGCTGTGTAATTTCCTGAGCTGCTTCCTTTTCCCCAGATTGTTCTTTCTGCTGCAGGATGGATGCATAGAGCTTGACCATATTCTGGACGTAAACCGCCTGGATGTGGCCTGGTAGAGTTGTAACTTTAGGCCTCAACATTGCTTCTAAAGTTTGGTTTGCTTCCTCGAGGTGTCTATAAAGAATAGAGTGGACAGATGAAAGACAGCAATTGAGAAATTTCAACATTTCAGTCTTCACAGAGAAGAATTTTTCAAAAACCTTGGTCACAGTATGAAAGTACTACAGAAAGACAGGACAGACTACGAATATGTAATAATTTGCTCTCTGGGTAATCTGCCCTTCCAAATTACAGTAGCAACATGGCACAGAAGAATTTACAGCTTTAATCTTTTACAGAAGGAGAGGGATACCTCAGTTTCCACCTTTACAAGTTCAGTATTCTCACCATTAACTAAGAATTGCACTTCTAAGTGCCAACTCCATTGATAGTCCGGATCTAGCAGCCCAACTACCTTCCTGCCATTCTGTACTTCACCACTCACATCAGTGAGCTTTTACTTCCAATCATCTACTGAACAAAAATAAAATCTAGTAGGCAATGCTTAATACACAGAAAAGAATGCAGATGATAGCACTTGTTTTAATAAATCTCATGCTCTTATTCAAAATTGTCTGCTCACAACTAAATGGAAGATGCACAAAAAAGTTACTAGTCTATTACAAATGGAAAGTTTAAGTTCTTTCAAAGTAAAAATGTGATCAAACTGGAAAAGGAAAGTATGTTCTCTTGCTTCTTAATCTACAGTTTTCTTCGCACAACTTTAACTAGAGGAAGATCTAAGTCCTATCAGTGTTCCCTGAAAATATCACACCTACTATGTGAATTTAAACTGGAACCAGTGTTCAGAGTGGCAACTACAAGAAGAGACACCAAACCAGATGACAAAAGGAGACTACAGTGTCACGGTCTGTGCAACTTACCAAAACGAAAACTAGGTAAGCACGTGTATCTGCACACAACCAAGAGACAAAAACATCTATTTAAGTGAAAAGACAATGTTGGCACAAGAACACTGAAAATTGTGCTACTGTGGGTACAGAGAAGTTTTGAGCAAAAAATAAGATGACTTCTAATTCTCAGGAAGATTAGGTTCTGCAAAAATCTTTCAACAAGGGCAAAACAGGGAGGACAGCAAAAACTGACTCAGTCAAACAGAGTGATTGGACATTTTCCCCTATGATATTAGTGGGGTTAGATCTTAATCATTAAGGAGTTCCTTCAATGTCTGAAGATCTTACAGCTCATACCCACAACTATGCCCTCCTGTATGAGTGGGCAGGACTATAGAGACAAGAAAAAAAGATCAGACACTCAAAATGAAGTATCTGTCTTGGCTAGAAACAGCTGAGGAGGGGTGAGGGAGTGGGGAAAAAAGCAATCATTTCGTTAGCTTTAGGGTGCATATTCTGAACTACCCTTCTCTCAAAAATACGTTTCAGTGACCGGAATCTTTGTCCAAAAGAAGTCACTCAAAGCGTGTCAGGCTTTCTGTTTGCACTTACTCAGAGAACTCCCCACATATCCAAGCAGCAGCATAAAGCACCTCACAGATCCCATTTCTCTGGGTGTTGCTGGCTATGAGATGAGCATTGTCCAGAAGCATGGCCATTTGAGAAACTGCAAATTTACGAATAGCTTTAACTCTGATAGCTACATCTAACATCTGAGCTGCTATAAGATGCCCGTGCCGCGTGCCTTCCAATCGGGTCAGCTCCACCAAGATGCTTATGTACCTACAAAAAGTGAAAGGGATGCAATTTTATCAGCAGACAATCATGCATTACCATTGCTGATGATCTCAAAGTTGACACATAAAACCACTGACCATTCAAAGTTTGTGATATATTGATAATTGGACTGACTACAAATATCTATGATTTTGGTCAGCAGCTCATCCCGGTACGTCGTCCCTTCTGCTTTATCCACGTGAATCATCAGTTTCTTCACTATCTCCATCAAGTTCTTCTTTGATACCTGTTAAAGAGTTATTGAAGGGTTGAACCACAACTAAGCCATTTCCCATACTGTCAAGTCCTTCTAATTCCATTAAAGCAGCTGCTAGCTCTTTGATGGACCTGTGTCATGTGTTAACAAGAAATCAGAACCACCTCTCTAGCCCCCAGCTTCAGTCACAATCGAAAAAGGAACCTGTTTATCTCTTTTCGATGTTGTTATTAAAGCAGAGCCAGTACAAGTATACAAGACCATGCTGTGGGATAGCTGAGAATCAGAATTACTAGCAGCAACATAGAAATCCAGGAGAAAAATCAATCTTCCACTTCTGCCAGATTATCAAGTTTAATCATTTAAAACATTTTTGCTTCTAAACTGAACAAATTTAAGAGTCATTAACATCCAACAGAACTCTGGCATTTCAAAACATAGTTGTATTAACTTGCTCTGGAAACTTATTTGTCTAAATAAAGCAACCAAAATATTCAGTAAATATCACCAGTTGTCACGACTCGCTGCTTCCAGCTATGACCTCTGAATAGGTATATGTTAAAGACATCACTAACAAAAATGTATGTAATAGTATTTCTACAACCATTCGTTATACAGCCCTCTTCCTCAGAGGCAGGGTTGAGCGAAATGGTAGACTCTCCTAGGTCACCTTTTGACTAAGACATAACAAGCAGAATTTAACATACAGGAACCAAGAACGAACTCCAATTCCCTTCGCAACAACGTTAAAACCACTGTCCTGATCAACGGGTTTTGAAGTTATTCTCATCTCATGAGGAGTACCAGACAAAAGGTATCTCTTCTTACTTTTCGCTTTCTCCTCTAAAATAGGAAGCTATGAGACATATCTATCATGATCCCTCTGTGCACAGGGGAGGGAGCGGCACAGACTCTTGAGTGAAAGGCACTTTACTATATAAATTATAATAAATTATAGCCACAGCCCTTTCAAAGATCAAATGTTGTCACTACAAGATTGCCCCTGTAGCGTATGCACATTTTATACATAAACTGCCCTGCACGATTGCAGAACGCATGCACGAGACTTGTGGTACACAGGGGAACAAACAGAATGCGATTCTGTACATGTCATTAAAAGGTGTTAACAAAATTTACAGTGACAGGCAAATTCAATGATAAAGCAGCTTAAAGCTGTCTCCTGTTGCTTCAGAGTGCTCCGGACTGTTTCCCAGACTGCATAGCTTCCGTCAACCCAAGCTCTGGTGTGCTGCAATGTGGACTGCAACCTAGAACAGCACAGACCTGTCCCAATACGCCTGCGGTCCACTTTACACCTAGACAAAGGACGGAAGGAGCAGGCTAAGGCTTAGCCATTAGAAAAGCAGCCTGCTGGCTGACTTCCACAGCGCCTGAACTCAGAAGCTCCTTCCAATCTGAATCAAAGTTTTTAAAGTCCTTTCATGCTATGCCAGATATTTTAATTGTCGTAAGTGCCAGAAAAGATATGGGAGTTATTATCACAAGACTACTAGAGAGAGGAAAAGAAAGTTGCATGTTTTTCTTAAATATCAGCCTCCTAAAGGGTCACAGGGCCTGGAGAGGAAAGGAAATACGTGTAGAAACATACCATGCCGTACAGGAGATCTAAAGCTCTGAGTCGGATGGACTCATCTTTGTCATCCAAACATTGGAGAATGAGATCCTTGTGAGATTGAACGGATTTAGGATGCGTTTTCAGGATTTTGGACATAGCTAACAGTCCCAGGTATTTCACTGTGAAAGACAAAATAAAACTTCTTTCCAAATATAGAAACACTCTTTTGTGTTGAACACGAAATCTTAATACCAAGTGCTTCTACTGAAACCAACTTTAATACACTTGAATAAAGATCTATGATGAGGAAAAGCATTTTTGAGAAAGAGTGCATCACAGATTATGGCCTTTAATTTCATAATCCCATATACAGGCACATAGTTACATATATAATCTTCATCACTGTCTCCCTGCATCTCACATTATCATTGATTTTAAAAATATGTATTAAATATACAGAAACTATGGGTTTTGAGAACAGGCATCCTAGGATGAATATAGCTTTAAAAGCAGTGAAGACTGGTGTATTAAGTAGGAGTCCTGTTCTCAATGGGAAAGATTCAGACAGCAGGAAAAGGGTTTGCACAATAAAGGATTTCCCAGTGGTCTTTGTAGTCACTAAAATAAGTAAGCATTCTTGTGTTTTACTATTATTCTTACACTGCTGAATACCCCTCACTACTTTCCAAACAGCAAGTGTATAAAAAGGGAAAACCCAGAGCATGGAAAGAAAACTGTTTTAGATTTACAAGACCACAAACAGCAGTAATAATTAATCTAATTTGTTTTTAAAAAGCTCATTATAAAGAAGTGCTATCAAAAATTATTTCCACATTAAAAATCCCAGCAATTGTTTACCATGTACCAGGAACTACAATACTGAACAAGCTGTTTGGAGAAACAGCTCTAAGACTGCTGTAATTTCTCCCCAGTGGCTGGTCGCTAAAAGTTTCCATGAAGACAAGCAACATACTTACAGTTCTGGTCAGAATCTTCTATCAATATCCTTAACTTCTGAACACAGAGCTGGAAAAAAGACCACATCATGCTTATTACAAATCTTAAAAATCTTAATTAAAATAACTCTTCATAAAGTTTACTCAATACACAAGGAAGCGTTCTGATCGAGACCCGGGGCCTCTAGGTAAGAGGGTCTTGTTGCATTAACAGATTTCAAACCAAAAGGAACCTCTGTATGATTGTATTGCTAGTAGTAGCTGAATAAGAGTTAGGAAAACTCTAAATGAGAAGAATCTGCATTTTACAGCAAAGGAAATAGAGAATCTATATAGGAAATGCTTCAGTCTGTAGGATTCCACCTGAGTGAGAGCATTTCAGGGAGCTATTGCTTTAAATTTTGCCAGAGGAATACAATCCAATTTCTCTATGGCACTTGGTATTACTCAGCAGAGCAGAACAAACCCAGTGTTGTACCTGGATGCTAGCGCTGTGATTGGGCATCCCAGAGGACAGAGAGATCAAAACTGAAATATAAAAGCACACATTTCAGTTAGTACTTCTGTGTTCTGAATGAATGCAACAACACAACACCTAAAGGTCAACAGGTAGCTCAGTTCACACGGGAAGATGCCAGTTTATTTTGTTGTTTGTCTGTTTGCTTGGACTTTTGGGGGGTCTGGGCAGAGGAGACAAGGTTGTGACACAAACTATAGTTTCATATGCCTTGAGAGTAATAATAGCAAGGCAGGAAAAAGAAGTGTAAAGGTAGGAACTGCTGGAACAGCCAGGTCAAAGCTGCTTTTCATTACGCTTTGCTCTCATTAAGATTTACTTTACCGATATTGCGTAGCAGTCAAGACTGTAAATATGTCATCAGCTACCATATAGCTGAATTTTTAAGTGTGCACTTCCCTAATGTAACGAGATGCAGCAATGGATCCTAGAGTTTAATGTAATTAGATTGGAGCTTTAATCAAACCAGCAAGAGACTCAAGGCACAAATCAGGTCCCATTGTTGATTATACCGGACATTCGTAAAGCTCTGGCAGCACGCAACCCGACAGCAGAAAAGGTGGAGTTATCTTGTTAACTGCTGCTGTCATATAGCATGTCCATGCCAACACCAACTCTTACTGAGCAAGTCACACACGCTGACCTTAGTGACTAATAAGTACGGTGGCATTTTGCTCTCCACCATCAGCCTTTAGCAAATATAACATAGCTGTAGTAACCTAGCCTCAGCGACTGACAACAAAGGATTTCAGTTACAGTTACACAGTAACACAAATCAAAGTTTGCCAGGAGACTTATTTCCATTATAAAATACATAAAGTTAAAAAAAGGTTTACAGATGGTGTTAACTGATGACAAAGTTCATCATGGGTTTTTTATTTTTCTAGGTTACAAATTTCAGTTCTCACCTGCTATTACTGTGTTCACACATTCATATAAGAGAGACATGGCTGAGGTGCTGAAACAGAAATCAAGGATTTTAAATAAGGAATAAAACCAGCACATTTTGAAGAGTTGTCAGCAATATCTTGGAGCTAGTTAACACCTTTAATTACACAAGAAGTTGCCAGTATTCTGTTCCATATACCTGCAAACTAGATGAAATTATTCTGACTTAAAAACTGTTGGGGGGAGGAAGGGGCACTGAATTTTTTTTTTTTTTTTTTTTAAAAAATCTTCTCAGAGAAGCAGCAAGTAACAGCACTGCAACACTAGGAACAAGGAAGGAAGCGGTTACTCAAAACCTCAGTACCAGTTACAGAACACTGAAGCAATCTTGTCCAAGGATCAAATTAAATCCTCTGCCCAAGGTCAAAAATTCACGATAAAGCAGGCAGATGGAGAACCTCAAGTTTCTTCAAAGCGAACGAGTCATGCACAATCAGCAGACTCTACTGGTGTGCAGGTACACACTTGCTCATCCCTGTAAGCGAGCAACCCATTCTCAACACCTGATTTCCCCTGAAACTTAAATTCAAGACAACTTTTGCCAGTTGAACACACATACAGCGCAATTCTGAAGATTTCAAAAGTACTTACAAATCCTGATCTACACAAGACGGAACCACAGTGAACCTCGCAAGTAACAAAGGAGCAGACTCCAGAAGCAAGGTCTGCAAAGGTAATGAGCAAACAACTCTGGGGGCAGCAGTTAGCAGCGATAGTGTGAAGGGCACTCAGCACACCACATACGTGACTCTAGTACGCTCAGAAGCAAAACAACCGTTTTTGCTCCCTATGCACTTTGTGGTGGATGGCAGGGTGGTTTGCTTTATGGATAAGTGACAGGAGATCTAATATGACTGAATGGAGACAAAACCAAACTGGATTATGTCCTCACAAATAATAGAATGACTGACTAATGTGGGAGTCAGAGACAGGAGGTAGAGACAGGATTGAAGACATACTTTCCATCTTCCTGCTTTTTCTGGCAAAGTACTGTTTCTGGTGAATTTGCATCTATTTCTCACCACTGCAAAAACCCTCTTTAGGTATTTGGATGCAAGGCTGCTGGCTGGTCTGCTCCAAACCAGCCTTAAAAGATATACTAGGAGGACGGACAGAAATTGTTTGGCTAGAGCTGCTCTCATGGCTACATGGATATCAGTTTAAAATTTGCTCATTCCCATCTATCTTCTTGCTCTGCCACATGAAGAGAAATAGACCTTTTAATTTAACAACTCATGCATAAGATCACACTTCCTTTTCATAACTGGGAAAATACATGTATTCCCTTCAATACATCTACTTTTCTGATTTTGGTTCAGAATTAGATCTAAAACACTACCAATTAGCTTTAACAAGGGACAAGGAAATATTTTCAAATTTATCTAATCTATAGTTAGGACATGGATTAAAGGAACCTCTTCCAAAACATGTCTGGGCTGACAAAGGCATGAGAAAGAACTTTAATATAGTCCTTGTCATCCTGCTTCGCTGGGTAAGGCATTTCCCAAAAAATCAAGAATCAAATGTGTGTAGGTGAAAGGAATCAGTAAATAAACAGCTAAGCCCTTTTTAAGCCAGAGTTTTTATATATTCTCCATAGTCATCTCTGGCTTAAAATGCAGTGAAAGGAAAGCAAATTGCTCCAATTTGCATGCATGCTTTGGAGAAATTCATGCTGACAGTCAGACACCCAAAGACTTTCCTTTAAGGTATCTTATCTCACTCAGGTTTTTCAGAAATAGTCCTGATGTGATTTGATACTTGAAGCCAATATATCAGGACTCAAGAAGAAGTTCAGAAATGCATCCACAGACCTACCTAGTTACTGACCTCCCTAACTTCACCAATCCTGAATGAATCAAGTAACATTTGTCATACGTACCTATGGATGAGGTTGGTCAGAGGCTCAATCAACTTCTTGCCCAGCCTAGGTTCTAATGGAGTAAGAGCACCAAACTATTAAAAAAGAAGCGCAGACAATAAAGTGATTTAATAACTGCTTTTAAACAGTACAAAAACGTGACTTAAACTGAAGCTCATTCTATTTAAACTAAGCTATGATAAAATATTTTTCTCTCTTTGTTACATTCACAAACATTAGAAGATATTCCTGATTTCTTTTTATTCAGATTTAATGGTAGCTATACCTCCAAGCAAGAAATCTATTTCTGCACCCACGGTAACTTAAGAACCCCAAACCTGTAAATATAGATCCAGAATACTTGCCAGTTTTATAATTTTAATGAGAACCCAATTGTTGGTTGACGATGTCATCAACTTGAAAAAGAGTGGAGCAAGGGAAAGGTAGTTTTTGGGATTGCGTCGGGCCAGCTCACAAATAACATTTACTGCAGCAGACTGCACACCTGGGAAAAAGAAGCCGGAAAAGCAGAAATCTCAACACCTTAATTGTAATTGACACTTCTGGTGCAGAACCCCCAGAACAAAAGCAGCTCAAGATTCAGACTCATGAGTCCAAGAGGAATGGTTCAGCCTCAATACCAATCATGAATGCAAAAACAAACCCAGAAAGGATTTTATTTAATTTTGGCTATTTTCTAATATATCAGCAAGCTGGGTATCTGCTTTGGGTCCAGTATAAAAAGAACAGGACACGGCCAGCCTCCTTCCCCCTTTACTATGCATAACTTGTTTGTGAGACATAGACAACATATCAATAATCCTACCTACCACAAAGTTTCCAAACACTCTTGCCTCTTTAAAATGTATTACTTAGACACGTTCAAATACAACACAAAAATAATGAATCCTTAAACAATCTGACTGGACACGTTCATTCCCTTCTAATTGCTCAGCCTCTAAATTTGGAATCTTTTAAACTAGATAGTCTGGGTTTTCTAGTAGAGAGCAGTCCTTTTCTCCATAAGGCATAATAGCTATTTTCTTCCTCTGTTTGCAGGTGAGTGGTGTGTGTGTTTCTCTTTCTTTAAAAACATTGTCCCTGGAAAATGCATCTTACATACCCACACCAAATTAGTCCAGTACATGCAATTAAATTTCTCCCTTTAAACACACATGCCAATCAACCTGAGATCACAGAACTGTATTGCACACAGAATTCTCATAACAAGCACTTGGTGTTTTGGTGCAGTGAGGGAAGAGCAGCACCTTTCGGGAAGACTGAGTAGGAGTGTGAATATGATACAGAACAATTGCAGATTTCCTGTGCTGCAGCTGAATTGCACTGACACAGTATCAAAGGGCCCAAACAGCAGTCTGGACTCAAAAGTTTGAATTTAAAAGACAGAAAAAAACCCCAAAACCCAAAGTGATGAGAAATTATTTTAAGTACATCCATTGAAAGCCAATAGCTGCAGCTTTGTAAAAGAGCACAGGGGAAAACAACAGCAAAAACCCAAACCCTGAAATCAACTGAAATATTTTCAATAGCCAAGTTAAGTGAGCAACAAGCCAGGAACCATTAAGTAGTGTTGTCCCATTAAGGTTTAATCCACTGATAAAGTTTCAATAGCTTTGGGTTAGAACTAAGAATTGGACGTTTTAAAGAATATATTTTTAATATGGCAACACCTGTCAAAACTCTCACATGCTCATCTACCTATTAAACACGTGAATCAGTACTCAGAAGACAATTACAGCATTTTTCATGTGTTCTTCTTTCCGCAAGCTCTAAAAGCATGTATACCTAGATGTTTTGGAGCAGAAGCAATTTACTAAAATCCACTCACCAGGATCTGGATCTTCAAGTTTCTCTTTAAGGCGAGGAAATGCGGGACGGAGGGACTCTGGGTATTTCAAAAACACTTTGTACATGATTAACACTGCCTTCTTCCTGATATAAGGCTTTGTATGAGACATCTGTTAATGAAACAATTGCAATCAGGCTCTTAGCAAATTTGTGTTTCCAGAGTTCTTCTCAAGGTCTCCTTATGTCCACAATACTGTCTCAAAATTTCTTTCTGGGAGACTCAATTACTTTTCGAAAACTCAGCTTTGAGCGGAGAGCAAAATACTGTCACTTATCACCAAAACTAACAGAAATATTCAAGGTAATCCTCTTGAGTTAACTAAAGTCTGTAAGGGCTCCCCAAAAAACTCACAAGAACAAAGCATCAGTTTTCATATATAACAGTTCTAAACTTAACAGATATTTACTAGATTTGAACAATTCTTTACTTACAGGAAAGTTATTTCAATTTTATCAACTCACCAGTGTCATGATGTCATTTGCCAAGTCCCTGGCAAGATCTGGAGTAACAAAACAGGACAAGCCAGTCAGTGCAACTCCAGTATCATATTGGTTAGGGCTACTCAGATCCTAAAAAAGGAAAAATAGGCTCAAAAATTTAAGATCACACAGGGTGTTGAGAAACAATTCTCTCAGACCAATTTTATTCACTCAACACATATGAAGCAGAGTTGCTTCTTCATGGGAATATTTATATCAACTATTAACAGGAATGTCCTCCAACACCTGCTAAAATACAGCTAGCCTGGGGTTTAACAGGCATGAAGAATCATAATTAAACAATAGATGGATGACTGCAACATAAAAGCAATTAGAAATATCGTACCTTGGTTGTATTGTAGGAATGGCAAATTATTTTTAAAAACTCATGGCATGATCACAAACATGTTTAAAGTCCTAAAAAAATGGTATTAAATACTAACCCTGCCAAGTCAAAGCCCAACTGTCATCAGCTTCAGTGGGAACAGGCACTCTTGTTGAGTGTTTAACAGTGTCCTAGCTTAATCTTTCTATTAGAGAAATGAGAATACTTTCCTTCCAAGCTGCTGGCAGCACCAAAACTTTCAGTCCGTAAAGACATAAATCAAGCTAGGGTATAGAATACACTTTATCGGTCAAGTTTCCTTGGACTTATTTGTAGGCAGTATCCTACATAGTCTTTCAAGTATTTCTAAGCTTCAGACTCTTACCAATATTAATATTGATATCTAAGTATGTTCACGTACAGATTATAAAACCAGACTTCATGAATACAGAGCATCACAGGATCACTCCTTAACTGCAGTTATTAGGAAACAAAAATATGAAGCGAACTGCACAGAGCATTCCCACATGAACCACCAGAATCAACCGTTCAGATTCATGTGTACACAGAGGCTGCTTTAGGAGAGTAAACAGTCAGGTCTTCAGGGTTCTGTGCTGCTGGCATCTCAGTCTAAAATATTTTGCAGGTGATAGGAAATTAGATTCTACTTTAAGAATAATGCAATCTACTTCTTAAGGAGCAGCAAAACTGCAATTCATTCTGGCTTTAATATAATTTGAGAACAGGTAACCCCTTAAAAAAAAAAGTTGCTAGATCAATGAAACATGAAAAGGCATAAATAAAGATGCTTTTAAATAAAAACTCAGGTACAAAAAGGAAAGAGTAAGTGCCTGAAATTCAGGATAATAATGTCTCCATAATAATGAAAATGGATGGACATTATTAAAAATAAGCACATGTCAGAGCAGAATAGTTTAAAAGATAAAGGGAAAAGCACTATTTAGGAAGGATACTGGATAACATCCCACTGATCTTTTTTAAGCAAGGAAAAGACATTTTAGCTACTTAGATGGTAAAAATGTAGGTACATCTTGCACTGGATCAGTCAAGTTTTAAAGCAGTGATACTTTAAAAATTAAACTGAAGAGGTTCAAAACTATATCTGTAATCTTAAGAACAGGAAAATAACACTGCAACCCAATAACCATGAAAAAAAAAATCAAGTGACAAAGCTCTATGAAAATGAATACAACACACTTTGGTATAATTGTATATAAAAATGGTGAAGAGTACATGTAAAGTTGTATTCTGTATTAATGTACCAAAGAAGTCAAAAGCCTGATAAACAGGCCCTCACAAGTAGAAATTTTGCGGAGCCAAGTGACTGCTTATTTTACTTCAGTAATTTTTCTTACCCATTACATTCCTGTAAGGGCTGCCTAAGAGTAATATTAAAAAAGGTTATTGTTGTCACCATTCACTGTGTTGAAGAAACACGGAGAGTTGGTATGAGACAGCACAAGGGAAGCCTATGGACAGCTTCTAAATATTTCTTTAATCCTGCAGCTTGTGGAAGGAGAGTAGACTGTAAACCAAGTAAATAGAACTCTACTTAAACACCTTTACATTCCTAAAAGAGAAATACTTCGTCCAGATTTGAAAATACAAGTAAGGAGACAGTGGAAGAAAAAAATTAAGAACTGAAGTAAAAAAAGTTTACCTTTCGGATCTGATTAGTAGTCAACATAATTACATCAGTCCCTTCATGAAAGCACTGAGAGGCAGCTAGGTAACCTATTCTCTGTAAAAAGGCAAGGAGAAAAACCCCATTTTTTTAAAGTAAGTTTAGACAATGTTTAGCTGAACAACAACTGGTAGCTTCATAAGCAATATTAAAAAGATGAACAACTAGGCAGGAGGTTTGCAGAACAGAAGACGCGAGAGAGGGTTCTCTAGAAAAGGGGGTTTATATCAGGAAAGAATAATCTCAGACAAGTAACATCTCCAGTGATAATACATGTACCTTAAGGATAATAAAACTAGCTTCACCTTCTCTACTTTGTTACAGCATACAGGTTCAATGACCACAAAGATGTAGAAATAAAGTAGGATGGTCAGTAGAAGAAATGGAGAATATTACATTTATTTTGTCTGTGTTGACTCCTGACTTTCAGGTACTAAAGTCCAATTTGGAAACTATTCCTTACGAAGTAACATTCCACCCTATTTGGTGAAAAAGGTCTGCAACACAGAGCATGGAGAAAACCTTTCAAGGAAAACTACAAAGCTATTACAAAATAAAATACACCTCCTACTAGGAATCTTAGGTGGTCTTCACGTAAAAATACCTTGTTTTTTCACAAAAGGTATCTGACAGCTATTGCAAATATCTGGTAGAATAAGTCTATGCTAGCAGGCCAAGTATTATCCATTTACTAGAAACACATACAGTCTACTTCCTTTCTGTACTGAAGAAAGTAAAGCAAATGATGATGTACCAACACATTCATTAAATACAGTAGTGAAACAGCTTGGCTAGTACAGTTGTAGTTACACAGAGAACTCACTTTGAATGTAAACTTCGATGCACTCATGACTTCAATAATATTGAAAGCGGCCCAACTGATGTCATAGCCCAGCATCTGTAACTGTGAGCAGAGAAGCCAAGATAAACTTCTGAAATAACAGACTAAGAAAATAGGTCAAGATGCCTCACAAAATTGAAGATGTAACAACAGTCCAAAAATAATACTGTAAGACATTTCAAGTTTGAGTAATGTTACATTCTATGCCATTCATGGAAAGTGAGAGAAGTCTCAAAGTTCCACTAGAAGAAAGTTTTAAATAGTTCACATTAATTTCAGGTAATACATATGCAGTTATATAAGCATCATTGTGAAGGGTTTTTTCCTGGATTTTTTTTTTTTTTAAATAAAAACCATAACAGAACCACAGAAATAATTCTTTAACAGTATTTCCCTCCTCTACTTCAACAAAGGACCGCGCAAAGAGAAACAAACACCAGTTTCAAGGGCTCATGCAACTACGTGATAAGAAACAATCCAGTTGAAAACAACTTTTTAAGATTGGATTAGTTTTAAATCAGATTACCTTCCTGACCTATCTTAATAAAAATAAAATTGTACCAATACTAGTGCCAGCACAATGAACAGAATGGGAATATGCAGCCTGACACCAGACACGCATGGGAGCATTTTCACCTGCACCCTGCACTTACACCAGTCTAAGAAGCGCAGGTGTTCAGACCAAAGACTAGCTCCCAGTCAGCAAGAAAGAAAAAAATAAAGACGTGATTACATCATATCCCAGCAAGGCACTTACATATGTAAGTTTGCAGACTGCATTTGCTTTCACTGCAATGTTATCTTGCTTTAGCTCCTGCTTGATCTCATCGATGCACTGGGAGATGTATTTCGCCTGAGGAAAACAAAGAAGCAAAAATTTGTGCTCGTGTACCAGTGTGGTAGATTTCCAGCATGTTAACAGGGAGAAGCAGCAGCACTCATCATTTGTTAGGACCAAATCTCACACACGCACACTATTTAGGTAAGCATTTCATTCTGACAAAACTACTCATTAACAAGAAATATCACAATTCTATTACAAAACCAAAGGTACACCAAGATGTTTCTTCAGTGGTTTCCCTTCTCCCCCCTCTCGCTTGCAACCACATCGTTCACTCTACTGCTCTAGTTTCCAAGATTTGTGAAAAAAAGTTGTTCAATGGAGATCACGTACCTAGGGGTCTGACCAAGACCTGAGTTCCACCGCTCCTAGAACATGCACTAGTCACTTACCTCAATGGAAGTCAGAGATCACCCATTCATTACGTGTCTAGAAAAAAATCATGTCAAACGCTATTAATAGCCCACAAATTTAAGGTGACTGATGAAGATACTATGAACTACTCTTCTTTTGGGCATGCTGCATACAGATGGCACTGCAGATCTGCACCCACAACAGTCCTCAGGCCTGAAGGGGTACGGCACAAGTCTTGACCGGGATACAGGTACTTTTGGCTGTAATCCAGCCACAGCAAGGACATCCTCTCCCCGGTTCACCACTTAAATGAGCGGTTTTGTCATTTACACATTTTGATAACCAACAGTTATTTGTACAAATTTCTCAGTAACTCAGAGAGCCAAATGTCATAATGTTTACATTTAAATATTGGTCTTCCATTTCTTTCCAAACAATCACATCTGTGCTCGTGGGAGGGATGTGGTAAATGCATGATTTAAAAATATCTGTACAGATTTTACTTCATAAGTAGGGCTAGCTCAGAGATTCTTTCAGTTTACAATTAATTATGATTTAAGTACTGAAGGTATCTGCTACAGAAATCATGAAAATCTAAATGCGGACTAATAATCTTTCTTTAGAAAGCCACACATGCACCAGGCCATTTCCACATTCCATATAAATAAATCAACTGCCAGAGGAAGCAGGTCAGAAACACATTAACTACTTTCAAAGCAAAATCCTGCCTGAATACCATTACGATATTTTCAACATAGAAGTCTACCGGCCCGCCTTTAATTAAGATTTCTTCCCTTTACGCTAAATTTTGTGTATTATGCCAACCATTCTTTGGTCTTTTACAAATGTCTTAGAGTGACACTCATGCTTCAAGTTGTAAAAGTTTGCTGCCAGAAGCACAGAAAGTTATTCTGAATAACTAGCAGGTGACAATAAAAAGAAATTGTACAAGGTCTGCAGTGCACAGAGACAGTGCAGTGATCCAGGGGAGGAAAGGCAGCCACTGAATTTTAACGCAGGGACTTCATACTCCAAGCAGCAGTCACGTAACCACAATTCACACCGCTATCATTCAGAGTTTAGCAATATCAGAATTCGAATCCACCATCAGGATGCACAGTGAATGCATATAATTCCCAGGAGCAGCAGCTTCCCTGGTTTAACAGCTTCTACAGAAGCGGAATAATTTATCTGTTTTTTCTCTCAAACCTTGCAACTTAGGTGGATAAAAGCCAGCTCCTCCACAGCACTGGTAAGCTGAGGTGGAACCACATTTGCCATTTTGAGATTTTTACTAGAAGTCTTTGTTGACCTCCACAGAGCTCCTGTCTGACCCATCCCTGCAGCCTGTTGAGGTCCCTCAACCAGCAGCCCTGCTCTCCAGCACAATGTAACTCAGAAGGTCTGATGAAAGAAAGCGGGCAAATGAATCTACTTGAAGAAATTTAAGATATTTCTAAATGCCTGTATTTGGGATAGAAATACTATCTTTGCAATGGGAATTTTCACATTAAGGGAGGGCATGCTAAACACCAAACCACCCCTTCCTCTACAGAGATACCCATCTGTCCTCCTGGATACGGCCGAGTGGATCACATCTGCCAAAGCTGGAGGTGGCACTGCTCCCAAATACTTAACAACATAGACTGCAGGTGACTTCTCCCTGGAAACAGAAGATTTAGGATTCTAAACACTTCACCTGAGAGCGATTCAGGTCCAGACAACTCCCATAGGAAGTCTGAACTCTTGAGTATCAACTAAAAAAACTTCCCACAGTAGAAAATAAATACTTGATCGGAGATGCTGAAAGAACAACTTATACAACATGCAACTGATCTACAAATACATTGTACCTAGCCTTGAATATTTTATGCACACATAAGAGCACGCTGGCACACTGTCACAGAATCCTTCGCTCGTGTATCTTGTTGCCACATCTTGGTGAGCAAGGTCAGCACTGGTTCTCGGTGCAGAATACTAACACCCAAGTTCTTGGTCTTTATGTCCATGACCAGAAAGAATTACTGTCACTTCCCACAGCATCTATCCCCAAACTATTTAAGCATTAGCTTAAGTTTCCTGGCAATCTCTTGGGAGTTGGACGCAAACCACGGCATGACCAGAACGAAGGGGGAAAAAAAAAAAATAGAGTACAGAAAAGTTCAACAATGTACAGCCCGGCACAACTGAATACAGGCTTCCGAGTCACTAGCCACACTTGATGGTCCCAGCAGCCTGCAGGCAAGCCCCTGTCTACCAATTAGTCTAACATGATGAGCAACTTCTGGAAAAATATATTACAGAACTGAGAATCAGATCTGAAACTAAAATCAGGGATTTTGAAGAGCAGAAAGAAGTCCTTCCAAAATAGCTGTACTTCAAATCCAAAAAGACTACAAGGAATGAAAGACACTATATATAGAAAGTTTTAAAGGATCAGCAGTATTAACTTTTTGCTAATCTCTGTGGAGTAGCACTGTCATGAACGAGCAATATGAAGAAAACTGACCTATTTAGTCTCCTGCTTAAACCTGAAACGCAACCACCACACCCCAGCCAGATTCACTATCACATTTAACACCTACACAAACACGAGGGAAACAAGTAGGCATGTGCGGACCTTCAGCGAAGCTGTTCCCGGGCTCGTGGAACCGCTGACCTCTGCAAAGCCCCGGGCAGGAGGCTGCACCAAAGAATTTTCACCTGGACCGATACCCTCAGGCCCCACATCGCAGCCTGCGAGCTGTTCAGTGGAGTCAAACTGGACAGTAAAAGGCAGAACAACCACTTGATGGAATGAAGAAAAAATGGTAGTCCCTCAGCAAGGCCTAAATATTTGCAGGAAAAAAAAACTGTTTATATACGGAAACGGGACAAAATCTGGGTATCTTTCCCAGTATTGATTCACTGATAGTTTTTGCATAAATCCTTCTCATATAGCAATTTCATAGAATCATAGAACGGTTTGGTTGGAAGGGTCCTTAAAGATCATCGAGTTCCAAAGTGCGGTAAGCATGGTCTATTTCCTAGTAGGGTAATTAAAAATAAATACTTCCCAGGATATAAGTGGCTCAGTTCTTCCTTAAATGCTTTTGAGATCCCATGAAGAAAGGAATGCAAAAGGAAAATACTTCAGAGTTCATTTATGCTCACAGTATCCATTATAATACCAATATATTTGTTAACTATTAATTCCTTCCTAATTCTGCGACAGTCTTATTTGAAGTCTTCCCGGGATGCTACTCAATTGCGCACACATTTTGGCCAGTCAACTGAGGAGCACTTCTAAGTCACAATATTTATAGACCTCTGGACATTCCCTGCCAGACTGCTTTGAGCAAGCAAGGCAATTAGAAGGCAGCCTTTCACTCCCGGTGAAGTCGAGAACAAGCAGAGCCATTAAGTGAAAGAACACCCTCAGAAGGATGGCAATCCAGGCAAAGCTGCAAGTCTGCAGTCAAAAGCTGAAGGACATACGATAACACAGGGAAAAGAGCCGAGAGGAGCTCTTTTATTCGTGCTAGGCTGCCAAGTGGGAAAGAAGCCTTGCCCAACTCAATGGAAAAGGCTCCTGAATGAAACGCTATAGCAACCACTTGGGGGATTGTTTTCTCTTCGCGTATCCCTCGGAAGGAGGAAGATTGCAGACACACACTCAGAGCAGCGCAGCTAAAACCCAAGAAAGGCATGCAGATGTTGGCGGTAATTACTCAACAAAGCTGTGAATACAGCACAAAGTCGTAACTGCCATTTCTTAATGTACTCCACAAAACAGCTGCAGTAAGCATTTCATATCCATTAACAAAATACACAAGCCAATTTTAAAAATAAGCCCAAATTCCTCAAGAATTCCAAGACCTCACCTAGAAAATATGTGCATTTAAATGAGTGCGAGTGGCTAAAATAAGAATGGAGGTATCACGAATCGGAGGAAGGGAAAAGTGGGTCATGGTAAGAAGCCAAGATGTCAGTTTCTGGAATTTTTCATTTCCCAAGACAGAACTTGGGGTTAGCTGACAATTTCAGAGATGTTCACAAAAGACTAATATTTTTACAAGCGACATGTGAACTAAGTTGAAAAATCCCTAAGCAAACTGAACAACAATTACATTCCTATGAAATGTGACTATGCAGTACTTTCATCAGCTGTTGAGAAGACACTAATGGATATCACTGCAGAACCTTTACATTAAATTTAATCATGAAAGCTATTCATTTCCAATAGTTTTAAAGAAGGCATACTCTTATCTCAACCATATACCATCTTCCGAAACCAAAAGAAGGCAAACTCGTATTCTTACCGAATGCAGCAGAATCCTTCACCAAAGTCCTTGTCGGGACCCAGCCTCAATCCACTGCAGCCGATTTGAGACTCAAAGCTGTCACTTGTTGCACAGCAAAGTGCTTTCCACCCAGATGAAACAGCAAAATATCAGTGAACTGAATTTTTCAGTCCCTACTTCTCTTGCACTTTCAGGGTTAAATACAGTGTTTTAAGGAAAGGATGATTAACAGTGAACGCCACAAGGAGCAAGACGTGATCTGATCTAAATGTGTAACTACACCATTCTAAAACAGAAAGAGTCTGGAATAAGCAGAACATAAAAATAAATAACTGAAATAAGCACAAAGTATGACGTGTCTTTTGTTTTAAGCACTGTAGGATTTATCATTTTTTTTGGTTGGACTTTGAGACAAGCTCCATGAAATCACGTTGAGTGCAAGCACATGACAATCTCACATGAGAGTAAGATGCTCACTGCTCCAACTTCCAGAAAACCAGCAACAACTGACTCTCTTTTTCTTTTTTTTTTTTTTTTTAAATAATCTTAAGAAACACTACCTGTGGGACACAAGCCATGGGAAATGACCACGACGCTTAACACAAAAGGCAGTTACACCACAGACACCTTAAGGAGGCCCAGCAACTTTCAAATTTCTTTGTGGTTCAAGCAGAAGATCCTGCTACAAGCACAGCACAGATCAGCTGCCGCCTCCTAACTTCGGAAGAAGGCTGGAAAGAAACATGTATCACTTGCCAGGATTGTATCAAAACCCCCAAAAGTAGTACTTCACATCAACAAACACCACTGAACTAGTCACACAGAATTTATACACCTATAATTGACTACAGTACCTGGAACACAAGCATTGTACCATGACAGCACAGAATAAATCAACTGAAGTAACAGCTGAGAGCATAAAAAAAGTGAAACGCGCTGCTTTCCATTCATTTGGACACAACGTTAGAGATAAGCGTATTAGATGTTTACTTCTGTCATACATATCTAAAGATATATTATTTAAATACAGAAAAACATAGAAATGTAGAAAAAGCTATTTGAGATAAGCAGCAGGATCCTTCGTTAAGACTAGTCCGTGGCAGGATACAAAGAGAACTGCAAGGCACGCGCTCCCACATGGTATCAATCTCACACCAACTTCACTAAAAGCATGAACCAAGCAAAGCAGATAATAACGTGACAGAATATACGTAATAACTGAGAAACTGCACAGCATTCATTTAAGCAGGTTAGCAGCAGACAAAATAAAATGGTGTAGAGGGTAGTCAGATGCAATAAGGAGCTCAGAAAACATGTTATAACTTGAAAGGCATTTTGAAAAAGCCAAGCTTATCTTTCACTCAGCTGTTGATAAACAGTGTTGCTACACATGTTTTATCATGTCTTGGTTTGTCCTTGCTACCTAGTTTTCCAGGGATTTATTCACTCGTCTTGTAGGTAGCATGAAGATACCAGACCAATGTACTGTTCTCATCAGTGATAAACACCGGAGGCACGAAGGTGAACCTTTGCCATTTCATTTGCAGCAATCTTCTATATTATTTAGCAGAAATGTCGATGCATTATCCACTACCCTCTTGTCTATTACAACCAAAGCGAGATAGCAAGGCTCACTGACAGAGGAATGTGAAAAGTCAATTTATACTTTTTTTTCTTTTCTTAATGTTCACTGAAATTATACATACCAACTGAAATTTGGCATGATGCATCCACCCATCCTAAACTGATTCATAAACCTATAAAAACCTCTGAACCTTATTTTAAACATTCAGAGAGATGCTACGCAAGTAGCGTACACCTACCAGTTTCAGAGCAGATACTAAACCACCCCAACCAAACCACCACAGCACCATAAAAGCACTGTAGAAAAACACACCGGATCTTCTGAACAGGTACGTAACACAGAAGGATTGGATTTCAGAAAACAGACAGATGTAGAGTTGCAGCTGCTTGTCCAAAGCGACTCCAAGCGAGCCGCAGGCCAACGCACCCAGACACGCCGAGTCTGCAGCACCAGCAGCATCTCCCTGAGCACCAGGCTCTTCTGGCAGTCGCCCATGGACAGCGTCTTTTCGGCAGTTTACCGAAAAATAATTGAAATATTTCGCACAACAGAGTGCCTCTGCAGGAAGCTGGCGCAGAGCTACACAAGCCACCCTGGAGCACCTCCCCGGGCAGGCCAGGCCGAGATGCCAACAATTAAGTGGGTATTAGATAGCAAAACCCAAAACAGTCCACCATAAATCAGTAAGCAAGTAGCATCCGCAAGGCTCTAGAGATGTCCCTTAATATATCTCCAGTCTGATCAGTCCCTTAATATAAATACGTCTCCAGTCTGATCACAGTATTTGTTAATTTAATTGCACAGCAATTAAACAATCCTCAGGGGCCTGTGCTGTCTAAATCATATCTGAGCAGGCAACTTTTAAGACCAGAGAGATGCGTCAGATAAAAGCGCTTATCCCTGCAAACACAAGAATGTACTCAAACTTTTTGGTTTTGCATTACTATGCAAAAAGCTATTCGAGGACTTTTACAGTAGATTTTTCAATTTGCTAGTTCCAGACATATTTCTGTGCATAATTTCAGGCTTTGATAAAGGTAGGCTTCGTTACAAGCAAGCATGTCATTGTATATATAGGAAATAGTCAACTCCTTCTAAGGAACTGAAGTAATTATTGTTTCCAAGACTCAACCGACTGGAATTAATTCAGAGGGAAACAGCACCAAAAAAAAAGATGCTTAATGATGTACTAATACTATATAAAAATGTAACACTGAAAATAGTACAAAGCTGTAGTAGTAGCTATGAGTACTTCTCAGTTATGGAAAGGTAAGAAGGACAGCGAAGAAAAAAAATGGTTCATGGTCATTGCCAACTTCTTAAATTCTGTACAAATATTTGTGTAATTAAAGTAAATTTGTTCACCTACTCCCTGCTGTACAATCATACCACCCGCTCTAAACAAACGTCCATTCCTCAAGGCTGAAGCTTAGTCACACATCGCGATAGCTAGAAGTGATATATTTTATGCAGCCTGAATTTGCCATGAAGATTGAGCCCATCAGAAGAAAGTTTCAACATATCCACATGGATGCGTACGTCCGTTTATACACCTTTTAACGTACGAATCTCTCAGCGAAAGCTATCAGGTCCAAACATCTAGGTCACAAAAGAAATAACAATAACAGAGAAAGAGCTAACACAAAACCCAACCAAAAACTGTGGTCTACAAACCCTGTTTGATCAGCCTACCAGCTGCTGACTGGAAAGGCAAGCTGGTATGAACCAAACATTTTTTCATGCCCAGTTATGTTTCAGTATTCAACAGGACTCCTAAGTATTATCTGTTATTTGGAACGTATGCTTCTTATTTAAAAAAAGCACTCAACTGCCTTTATGAGCTACTAATGCTACCACTAATGATGTTATCTTCTGCACATTTCACCTTACTCAAATATCTTTATACTTCATACCACCTGGATTTAAGCAGACTCCCCTTTAGATTATGAAGCATTTCTATTTTTCAGCATGAACGATCAGGTTTTTTTTAATAACCTAAGGCACACAAATGTTTCTTTGTAACTGGTCCCATGACTCCGTCTTCCTGATGCATCTCGTTTAATGCTTCCCTCACGGCTCTTCACATCCCACCAGAAAAAGGACACGCTACCAAAGAACACTGCTAAGTGAAAAACCTCAAGGTGCTCTCTGTACACCAAACATATTCACTAACCCACACTGTAGAGGAAGAGGTTTTCCAGCCGCTTTTGTGGGCACTGATGACATTAGAGGAAATCACAAAAGGCCCCCTTTTCCACACTCAGCACTGGGACAGAGCGCGCTGCATCAAAAAGCATCAAATAAACAACTCTCTGAAGATGACCACAGTACAGAAGTGTAGTTAGTATCTCTATTCTACTTTGACTCTTCTGGCCATTCTTCCCCTGGCCTTGCAAAACGTGTAGTGTATGGGCCACTCCACTTCCTAGGACAACCAGAAAGCTCTTCCTCTCCCCCGGATCTGCTTAGGCAGAATTTTTACTTACACGTGTGAGAAAGCGATCTGCCTGGAGTATTGCAAACCCTCAGAAGAGATGGCTACAAAAGGATCTGGACTGGGAACAAAGCTATTAGCCCCACTTATGCCACAGTCAATTAAGTAATATTTAACACAGGAGAAAGCAAGAAGCTAATGAAAGGCAGCACTAATGCAAAGCCTCAGCTGCTCTCTGCTTGTAATCATACAAGAAAAAACCCACGTCTTGGCTTGTGTTCATGGCTCCAGGCCCTTTATTTTCCGTGACACAGCAGGTAAGGCAGGGACACTGTAACACTGGTCCTTGCTACCTTGGAGACCAGTACTAGTCTGGTTTTTTACCAATTGGTGTGAGGTCCTTATCCAACCCTCTTTTGTGTATTGTTTCTATTTCCGACTTTGTCTTTTCCAGTGATTCACATGCTCAAAGAATTAACAATAGCAACTCTAGATCCACTTGAAAGTGGGTGGAATAATGAGCTCCCTTCAAAGATATTAACACACATATGACAAGCAGTAACTGATCGAGCATCAGTGACTGAAAGAGCTGTCTGTCATCAATGAACTGCACGTTGCCTATCAGCTGGGCTGGTTTTTTCAGTCTTGGGCACCAACAAGCTTTTTAGCATTCCTCAAAATTCCCCTATTATGTTCCCTCCATTATCCTTGACCATGAGGCACTAATACCGCAATAGTGGCTAGAGGCCAAGCCGTCAGAAGACCACAGCATTAGACGGCCTTCAGCCTTGCTGATGACAGGCTGCGCCCAAAAGACTTTTGTGATATTAAAAGATTCCTCAAAACTCCTTAAGCCATCATTTCAGCTGAAAACATGTCAGAGAAGTAGCTGGAAGTGTGCAGTCAAGCACAGCAGCCCTTTACTTAGGGGAAAAGGTTTTTTAACAATACCAAGTCCACTGTCCTTGGGTAACAGTCACTAAGAAGCATGAACACGTTGCCAGTTTGGTAAGCCCAGTCTTTGAGCAGTGAAATACATATTTCACAGCACAGACACTCAACATGCCTCTCGTTTAGCATACATTATCAACTGAATTTACTTTTTTTTTTCCAACCAGAAACACTGTTTTCGCTCTCCCAACTTGCTACTGTATAAAACACCTTCTTAAATGTAAACCAGCAAGGAGATACTTATCACCAAACACTACACACAAGAAAATGTGAATTTTTTAATGTGCTTTTCCTGAAAGTATCGAGTACCAAAAACATGAAGGGCTAATCCTGGTGCACAACCAGAAGATTCTCTGAAAGAAGAGGGAGGCAATTTTCTCAAGTTATGAGCAAAGTGCGCGGACATTTTGTGCAGGACCTTTTTTTAACCCCTTCTCCCTCCTTAAGTGTCCTCCAGTAAATCAAAGGCACTTGCAACAGAGGGCTACAGTCTGAACAGGATAAAGCACCACTCATTTAATATCTTTGTTTCTATTATTTTATCATTTCAGTTTCATAAAGGAACCTCTCACCATAGCATCTGACAGTAGCTTCCTTGTTGGGAACACCAAACTTCTTAACTGCAAACGCAAAACACTGAGCAAGAGACAAATGGCATCAAAGTATTATCCCTTCCTTTATTTCACGTTCAGGAGAACATACCTAATCAGAAATAATTTCTCAGTTTGGAATATTTTGGAAAAAAAATCCATTATATTTTTCACAGCCTATGTTACAAGCCATTCCCCTCCTCAGCGTGCTGTGTAGCCGATCCATAAAAAGTAGGCACAAAGAGGGAGAAGTTATTCCATAGGGTACAACACCACCTAGTAACAGGTGAAAAACTCACCACTTTCATTATCAAAAGGATTCATTTTTCCAAATAAGAGAGAGAGAATGAGATATTAGAAGTGAAGGTCAGGGAAGAATGCAACAGGATCAAGTCTTTCTCGCAGGTTTGGCTTTCCCTCAAACTTCGAACTGGCACTGGGAAACACCACAGGGATTAAAGCATCCATACAGAGTGTCGAAAAGTAAACACAACGTGACAAACCAGGAAAAGATCTAATGCTGTTATGCCACCTCATTCCTTCCACACTAGCATCTACTTTGCAGAAGGACGATGCAGCTCCAGCTTTCCCCGGAAGACTGGAAAATGGACACAGTATGTCTGCGCAGAGAAGTGACTGGGTTAACTCACTCCTGCCCCTCACCTCACAGCCTTATAGAAGGCCATCACTTCAGTTTCAGTGTTTCAAACTCAAAATAAATGGGTCAGCTTTGGATACAGACCAGAAACTAAAACGAAAATGGCCTCTGACAGGTAATTAAGCACTCTGCAGGAAGGATGCCAGCTGAAGTGCCAGGCAGCCTCCAGTACCCTTTCAGTTCCTCTAGCGAGCTGATGCGGCCACTTAAAACTTATCCGTAAAGAGCTGTGGTGCTCCATTTAGGTCACGACAAGCCTTGGGTATGCGCTTAAGAGTCCCAGCGATACAGGATGAACACATAACCGTCAAGCAAGAATGCAGGAGGTCTGTCAAAAAGCTGTACTGAGAAACCCACGTCTGAACTGAGGTGACAACCATTGAATGGAGGTGACAACCATTTGGCGCATCCTGCGCTACAAACACATCCTCGGTGCGTCAGTGAAATACCAGGTACACTCGCTTGTGATGGTACCGCCGTAGGAATTGGAAAGGAATAAATCTTACTATCTCCTGTCTACCAGGAGAGACACCCAGAAAGATGAGGGAAAAAGTGACTGCAGAATTTCCACATGATTAAATTCCAAAAGACAAGAACCAACACATACAACAGAAATTAACCTTCTGCAAAAAGCAAAACTAAATCAGAAGTCAAAGTAATAATCATGCCTTCATTTCCTTCCATCTCATTTTTATTTAACAACCACAGCATCTCCTTGCCAGAGACATCTCTTTGATAGAGTAACTCTTATTGAGTTGAGATCAACAGCCAATATCCTTGCCACCAAAGCACGCTGCTGTTTGTTTCAAACAAATTTGCTCTTCTGAATAGGACAGAGTGTGTGTCTTAAGCTTAGACACTT